TTTGCCATGGCTCTACCTCTCACTGCGTGACAAAACGTTCTGTCAGCGATAGTCGGTTGATGCGTTGACGAGTGTCGAGTGAGTGTCATGATATTTTGCATCACTGGTCTCTTTAGTCTTATACCTTGTACAGACATACAAAGTTCGCTATTGTACCGTTGTACCATAGAGGTAACTCTAAGACCACTGGGTCCCGAAGAAAATCATTATTATTTTTGGCTCACTCAGTACCAGAACAACGGTCCCAAGCAGTCCCAAGCTATTTCACTAACCCCTGCATGTTCTGCATGAATCCACACACCCCTGATGTTATCTGTCAAACTTTCATAGCGAATCAAAACAAACATAGTGTAGTAATAGAATTTCAACTAGAATAGGGTACGTTAATCGTTTGCTTGGGACCAATAGGCTACTAAAGTGGTGAGCCAATTTAAAATCGTTAGTTTCGTATTGATTGTTGGTTGTACCATAGAGGTAACTCTAAGACCACTGGGTCCCGAAGAAAATCATTATTATTTTTGGCTCACTCAGTACCAGAACAACGGTCCCAAGCAGTCCCAAGCTATTTCACTCACCCCTGCATGTTCTGCATGAATCCACACACCCCTGATGTTATCTGTCAAACTTTCATAGCGAATCAAAACAAACATAGTGTAGTAATAGAATTTCAACTAGAATAGGGTACGTTAATCGTTTGCTTGGGACCAATTGGCAAATCAAAGTTGGCACTCGTGGAGAATAGAAGAACTATGAGAGTGATGATGGTTTCAAAATTTTACACGGTGAGGTATACGAGTTCAATCTTTAAATGCTTTTATTTTGCAAATGGAGCATTTTATTTAAATCTGGTTAATGCTACGCTAGTAGAAAACTTAAGGACTACTTAATAGACACATAATATAGAAAAAATAATTTCTTTTCAGATTTTTATGTGTAGACATAGATTTCAGGTTTTCTACAACTGTAGCAGCAACCAGATTTAAATAAAATGCTCCATTTGCAAAATAAAAGCATTTTAAGATTGCATTTGTATACCTCACCGTGGAAAATTTTGAAACCATCATCACTTTCATAGTTCTTCTATTCTCCACGAGTGCCAACTTTGATTTGCCAATAGGCTACTAAAGTGGTGAGCCAATTTAAAATCGTTAGTTTCGTATTGATTGTTGGTACAACGGTACTAATTTGTATGTCTGTCTGTGCTATTAACCTGGGCAATGTGACTACATCACGGTGTCTCTGGTAGAAAACATTAATAAAAAAAATCAGTATCGCTAAAATACTCACCAAACGAAAGCTTATGCTCTCCCCTTTCAAATGAGACTAACCTCGAAATGTTCTATCGGGGGGTCTAGAACATTTTTTTCAAAACATTACATTTAAAAATGTATCCTTTGTGATTTGAATCTTATGGATATCGCATTAGCCATTTCTACGGTTATCTAGGTAGCCATGACAAATATTTAGATTTTTTTTTTTAATTTGTGATCTTAAAAAAGGAATGTTTTAGTTAATATTAATTTTTATTCATTGAATTCAATTGTGAAAAAGGATTGTTTAAAATATAACTAAAAATAATTAACAGTTTACAAATGCCCACTATTGTACATCACTACAGCACGAAGAAGCTGCCGATCATATACTTCAGAGGTTTCTGGGGCCTTGACACGATTCCAAACAATTTGAAAATCGAAATGTACAGTTTCACTGGATTGCTCCACAAACCACTTCCAGTGATTTTACAAAATTCTGGGACATGGTATCGCAAAATATGAAATTTGGAGCTATTGGGTAAGCTGGCTGCAATCCACGTCCTAGAAAAGTTCTCAACCTTTTCTACGTAATCTTCACATAGATTTTCTTGAAAACAACCCTTGTAGACAAGATCAAATTGATCGAGTACCTGCAATATAATTAGCATTATAAAACGATAATTGAAATAACGATAAGATTACTTGCAGTTCTTAGCAACTTCAAGGTTCCATCAGATTGCAAAACATGTCGATTTTGCAGCAGTTTGTGGCAATTCCGTCCGGTGAATCCGTATTTGCTGTGACGTTGGCAGCTACTGATACTTGCCCAATCCATAGCAGTGTCGGAATCAATGGATTCCACCTTCTTGTAGATTGCATTTATAATTCCAAGCGTAATGTGTAAGGAAGGCGGTGGACAGAGGGTTATGATTTGGTCGTCAGATAATCTGCACAGCAATGGCTCATCAATACAATTGAAAAAGTTTCTCGTCAGTTTTCCATGCCGCTGACATCTCACGAATATGTCCGAGAGTTCGAGGCTGTGCAGCTGTATTGCAAAGATTATTCTTCGGTGCGGTGCAATAAGGACAAGGAAATGTCGAGCTGTGTCCCATTATTCCACTAAGGAGGTTGACAAACAAGAGTGTACTCCATATATTTGCGATATTAGCATATTTCTCGGGGACTGCTAACAGTAATAGCATTTTTACACCAGTATCCTTGCAATGGCCTCGTGTTTCATTCAACTTGGAGTTCGTGGTTTGAGATCTTTCGATAATGGACAGAGTCACTTTAAAAGAACCGCCCCCTCCGTCAACACCGATTTTACAGAACGAGCTTGTCAAATCAACGCCTCTTTTGGATATAACATGCTCTACCAATCATTGCACGTCGTTACAATAGACCACTGGCTTCAAAACCATTTCTTCACTATCGTTCAAATAGAATGGTAATTCAGCTACCTCGAAAAAACGCTGGAGTGATTGGTTTAGGATTGTTATTTTGGAAGAGACGTTGGGGGGCGATTTCGATGTCTAAGCCCCTTAGACAGGTGCTCAGTTGTAATGTTCGTCTGGTACTCAAATCGCAAGTCTTTTTTATCAAAAACAAATCGTCAGCGGACAGATGTGGTTTCCTTTTCACCTGAATACCAGTAGTAGTGGATTTCCAGCTGGATGGTAGTCCGTGTAGATTAGAGAGCTTTACCTGACCATCTCCATCCGTGGGTTTGTCCCTCATATACTTCGCAACGACAGGGTCTCCAGCATCTTGAGCGTTCTGGACAATCCTGAGCAAATTGCGCTTCGCTACAGTCTTCGTACATGTATGTCGTTTACCTTTTGCCATTTCCGAATAGCAATATGGACACAAACTCAACTGGCACTTTTTTTCGCATTACCCGAGGAGCTGGGTCTGCCACGTTTCCCCTTGGATTTAGGAGAAATTGTCACTCTTGCAGCAATGCATATCTCGCATGCGCAAATATCAGCGCTTCGAGTGGCAAGTTTTAAATTGTACTTATACTTGTACAGCGTGGTATTATCAGAATTATTCTGATTACTATTCGAATAAACTGTAAACGAACATGCTCGACAAATTTTTGTAGGATAATACCAACCTATCGATCTAACAACGTGAAGAAAGTGTTGTTCGATAATATTAACCACCTTTGTTGATAGTGGTTGAAGATGCAGCTTCTTCAAGCACAGTATGCACACCACCAAACGATTTTCTTCGTGACTTTTCGGTTTCATGTTTAAGTTTTGCTGTTAGAATTATATGTGTATATAGATAAACGTTTGAATATTTTTTAATTAGATAGACCCATACCTTTTTTCAGCAAATCAAAACGATGACACAAAACAACAAAAGTTCACTTTTTCACAAGAAACAAATACCAGTTGGTTCACAATACCACGTGCGCAGAATGCATATGACAGATAGGCTTTTAGAGTCATGACCTGCTACGATCAAATTGTATCCAAATCATAAGTTCCACTGATTTTTTTCAAACCATCCTTTTTTTAAATAATTCGTTTATTTTTCCAGGCTCATTTGCTGTAGCTTTGCGGAGCCGATATTCATTGTTTAGATAACAGAATTACTTAAAACTAATACCCCGTTCACATTACAGCCTATATCACGTAATATAGGCTGTCTTGCAATGAGCACTCATTCATTGGATTTCCAGTGAAAACTAGATGTATGAGTGCTCATTGCAAGACAGCGTATATCACGTGATATACGTTGTAATGTGAACGGGGTATAACGTTAGTAAAGCGGGGGCCGATTACTCGCGGCTATCTCGAGGTTAGGGGTAACAAATTGTAACAAATGGATGGCAGGGTAGGGATTGTGAACACAAGGTTTGGAGAGCAACGTGCTCTTGATCTCGAACTAGGCGACACTCTGATGAAAAAGACAAACATGGGGGTACACCGATGGGTAGCTAACAACTTGGGAGAACACAAGATGACACTAACTTCTAAATCCTCAAATCTATCCGTTTTAAAAACACATAAATTAAATTCAAATAGTCAAGGTCTCGGCTCGCCAAGACATCTCTAACGGGTATCGCGGGTTGTTTTCCTCGGGCCCTGAGGGATGTGGATAACTCAGATCTGGCAACACGGTGTAAGGTACACGACCAAACAACATGCTCGATATCGTGATAACCACTGCCACACGCACATAAATTGCTGCCTGAGGATGATTTTTGATAATTTTCAACCGTAATTCATACAAAAAAAAAAAAAATCTAATCCCCCGATAGAACATTTCGAGGTTAGTCTCATTTGAAAGGGGAGAGCATAAGCTTTCGTTTGGTGAGTGTTTTAGCGATACTGATTTTTTTTATTAATGTTGTTCTACCAGAGACACCGTGACATATAGGTGTTCTTATGTGTCAAATTCATGATTCAACCATGTTGGATTTTTGTATGGGACAGCGACTGAGTTTGTTTACAATTTGCTCTAAGAGCGCACTCCCCCCGCGATCTCCTCACCCGACAAAGCTGTAGTACCATGAACCTGTCTTAACCACTTCAAACTAGAGAACGGCGAATAAAAGATTATAGGAATCGCGTAGATGAAATATAACTACCTAGCTCATTTTTTCCTTGTTTTAAGATCATCCTCGTTGAACAAAGCCGGGTCTTGTCACTATCAACAAGGTCGTAAAAAGGAGTATAACATGTGTTCCTTTGATTACAAAAACAATCATGTTCCCCTAGTTTGAGGTAGTTCGGACTAGGCTTCGGTGATAGAGCCTAAAGTCAGTAAAGCACCACGAAAAGGTAATCTACCAGGCGTTACTGGACATTGTTGCACCTTAAACAAAACACCAAAGTAATATCCCATGCAATCTACATTACATTTATTTCGGTTAAACGTTAAACTCGAAAGTCTCGGTACAATATTTACCTGTAAAATATTAACACATTTTAGATGCTAATCGTACTACATCAAATAAATTTTGCATGCTATACGGGAATGACAAACAATAATACAAAATAGTACGTTCCTAACAAAAATATCCAGTCAAAATTTTCCTGAAAAGTCTTGAAATTTTGCACCATGCTCCTCAGCGTACGCCACAAAGGCGGATCCCTCAGCAATTGCACATTTGAGCAGAGCTTCCACGTCACATTCTGCGTAATGGGAAATTTTGGGTGGTACACCAAGTAAACGCTCGTGGACGTCGCACAGTCGGAACCTTTTCTTAACCGACAGGCCGGGTGATAATTGCGTTGTTGGCACCGGGGTTGACGGAGGTGACGCTGAATTTGAACTTTCTCCTTCAGTGGTAAACAGTTGGCGCTTCGATCGGGATGGACTCTTTCGCTGTCGAGTCGTTTCACTCGATTGGCTCTGCGTGGAGGGAGTCACATCCAGGTATGACCTTAAGACTTTTTTGTAGTTCTCGGTTATTTTGCTCCTTTGTGGTGTGGTTTCATTGAGTTTTTGCATCTGTGACAATGTGCTTGAACTGCCCTCCAGTTCCTCCATGGCCGTAATGGCAGTCAGTTCGAGATCAGCCAGTTCGTTATCCGCATTTTCCTGAACCGCCTTTGCCTTCCGTTCTCTTTCCTGCTCCAAGGCTTGAAACAGGGGCAGCGAATCGATGCAGTACGTGTTGTCTGGTAGCTGTGCCTTCAGAGCTTCCAACTCCTTTTTTAGTATCACGAAATCGAACCGGTTTCCATTGTGTGCTACCAGACATGTCGGGGATTGGAGACGTTGCAAAAATAATGCAATCAACTTGGCTACGGTAATAATATCATATTTACTGATTTATTCTTTCAATTCGATGAAACAGTTTAAATCTTACCTGTATTTTCATCAAATCTGCTTTCATTTTCCAACATATCATTATATAGCCCTGAAACGTAGCATAAAATATAAGAATGAGAACACTATTCATGCATTGGTGAAATGCATAATCAAGTACCTGTAGTTTCCGACGCCTTTGGATGAATCACTCGCTGAGGGTTGAGGCAAAATGTTTGCTTATTCAGTATCCGGGGGAGCTCCCCTCGTTTCGTGTTCAATAGATGTTTCTTGGAACAGGCTATCAGCGAGATCTCGGTGATTTTGGGCATCTGCAGCCCTGGTAAACCCGTGGTTTCCAAATCAAAGAATACGAAAGATTCCAACTGAGCCATCGCCAATAGATTATGTGTACGTGTTTACGGCGTGCAGTGCTCTGCATTACTGCAACCTTACGGGCTAAATCAATTGCATTTAGCTGAGATTTGCGGTAGGTGCTACATTAGGTGCATTCTACAGGTTCTATATAGATGTATTATAAAAAATATAACTGAGGCGTACGCCAACCAACAAGTACAAGTGCAAATAAAAATGGACGTCACTGCGTATAGACGTTTGAAATTCAAAAATTGTGTTGATAAACAAAGAAAATGATCCCGGCACTGAAATGAGATACACACGCTACACGCAGAAACGAAACAACTCAAAATTAAGTCATTTCTCGCGTCACTTTTCAAATAGACCAATGTAACATATCCACCATTTTGAGAAAATCGAAGTTGAAGTTCGACAGATTATTATTTTAACTGTTTAAAAACAATACATGTAGTCAGCATATAATAACGTTGAAAATTCAGAAGAAACAGTAAAATCACAATTTTACTTTGAATTTCATGCTACAACATAGAAAAAATCACATATGACGTTTTGACAAGTCGAGTTGTACATCGGACATGTTACATTGGACGATTTTTCTCAATGACATAATCAATGATTGTTACATTGGACGTTTTGTCTACATGATACTAGATTCCCTTTCACAGATTTCAGAGTATAGTACCTAACTTTAGATTGGCCCCGCCTTTGGAAAATGAGCACCAATCATGTTAGGCAGTCCGAATGACCGAAGTAACAATCATGTACCCATCATTTCAAACTGTACATTGGACAATTTTTGATCAATGATTATCTTAAATAAATGAAAGTAAATTTGGATGGATGTTTTTGTATCACATACAATGACAGAAGAGCAATAGTTTGTATCGCATAACTCGATTTGTTTACATTTGTTACATTGCACTATTTGGAAAGTGACGCGAGATTTCACTCATTTTGACAGCTAAGAGAAACCAGTTAAAATAGGTTAAAATACGCCTTTTTACACTCAAAAATATTAGTAACAACGAAAGATTAAAATTTAATCATTTTATCCTTAAGTTATATATATACATTGATAAGATTAATATTCAACTTCAAAATTATACTAATTCAGAATAACGTCTCACAATTCGTTCAGACAAAGAAAAATCGTTAGTAAAATTAAAAAAAGCATCGGTGAAATTAAAAGTTTGCGTTGGGTCTTTTTGGTAGAAAGCGGTTAGCTTTTAAATCAAAAGGTCCGTCAACTGTCAGTTTACAAGTTGCCCACTCATGACTTTTAAAAGTTTAAACTTTCAAAATAAATTGTTCTACTGTCAAATTAAAAGCGTGGCATGGTTGAAATTAAAAGCTTATTTTCAAAACAAACTTTTGACATGAGAGTACGGTATACTTTAAATGACAATAATTGTTATTTTTAATCCAAATTAAATATTTTTATTTCATAAGTAGTATATTCAATATAGTAAAGGCCCAAACGCAATGTGGGCGGAAGCGGAACGGAAACGGAAAGTTTGACAGTTGTCACTAATGACATCAAGATGCCTAACCGAAGTCGATTTGGATCTAACTAGTTTTCAATCCGACAAGTAGGCTTACTCAGATCGGGCTTTTCCGCTGCCGTTGCCGTTCCGCTTCCGTCGTCATTGCGTTTGGGCCTTAACATCCTTTTAATTAAAAATTACAAATTCATTTATTTCTCTATTTTTTATTCACAATTTGATATCATTGTCTGGTTCCGCACTGCATATTCGTCGGATTGGGTAGGCAGTTTTTTTAGACAGCAGGCTGGTATGGATCGACATTTTTCACTTGAGATCCTTGTAGTACTGATTGAGGGCACTTCTCTCGGCGTCCGTCAGCTAAACCTGCTAGGGCCTTCCCGCATAAACGCGAACCATCACATGACCTTACCGATAATGGTTATAAATTGTTTATAATCCCTGCTAAACTTCAACTGAAATGGTTATGGTACTTTACATGAACGTTTGTGTGATAAAGTTTTAACCTTATGTATTATGGTTTTTTGGAAGCGGACCTTACAAATAATGGGTTGTTAAGAACCATTACCATTCCAAATTCTTGTTTTCTCCATAGATTTTCGGAAAGAGAACTATATTAGAACGTTTTTACTTATGGTTTGAGAACATTAATGGTTATGGTTATGGTTATGGTAGTCAGTAAGGTCCATTAATGGTTTTGTATTATCGCTCAACTTTACGTGAAATATATCGTGAATTGGTAATCAGTAATTTACAGGCAACCAATTCGTGATATATTCCACATAAAGTTGATCGATGTTACAAAACCATTCATGGACCTTACTGGTTACCATAACCATTACCATTAATGTTCTCAAACCATAAGTTAAAAGGTTTTAGTCTAGGTTTTAGTATAGTTTTCTTTCCGAAAATGTATGGAGAAAACAAGAATTTTGAATGGTAATGGTTCTTAACAACCCATTATTTGTAAGGTCCACTTCCAAAAAACTATAATACTTAAGGTTAAAACTTTATCATTAAACGTTCATGTAAAGTTCCATAACCATTTCAGTTGAAGTTTAGCAGGGATTATAAACAATTTTAACCATTTTAGGTAAGGTCAATTTATGGTTCGCGCTTATGCGGGTTATCTAACATCTTGCACGACTGTAGGCTACGAAATGTCTCCGATAGACAGTGTATGATTGATGCTCGTGGCCTACTGGCGATTCGCCACTGCCTGAGGATGCCATTTTCCGCAAATTCCTGGTGCAAGCGTGTTTCTCATCCTACAATTTCAAAAGCAATCAATAAATATTATTTGTTCCACGGAATAGAATTTCAAATTACCGGATTGATTCGCCCGGAAAAGGATCAACGTTCGCCGGATTCCCTCTCGGCTAAATTAATGATACCTGCGGATAAGCAATAATCATTGGTTCAATTATGCAAATTATCTGATCTCAAAAATTACTTATGGTTTAATAAAAAATTGCTCTCCCAAACTACAATGTCAAGCAGCTGCAACTGAAATGAAAAAAAATCTCTTTTCCGGCTGTATGGCACACTCCGCCAGTGCAGAAGTACATGGGTTCTAATTTGCAAGCAGTTACAGCGTTACAGACCAAATCTTCACACTTTCTAGGACAAGTTAAAAAAAAAACTGAAGTTTTTCTTTTTGTTTGCTCACGCTATCCTTAAACTACCCAAAAATGGGTAGAAATCAACACATGAAGAGTAATTTTGACAGTTAAACAATTTTCAATTTGAAAATCTGGGCTTTTAAAACTACAAGTTAATATTAAAACAATCACTTTTGAATTAAAAACAACCTTGTTGTATCAAACATTTTCGTAGTTAGAATAACGATTTTTTTGATACTTTTAAATTGAAAGGTTAATATTGTTACCGATACAGTTTTTGTTTTTTTTTGTGTACCTGCGTTGCGTTTGACAGGCATCTGTTTTTGAAAAAAAAAAACAAAATCTGTTGCGAAGTTCATCAGTGCGCGAAAACAGGAACAACATTTAATTAGAAAAGTCATAGGGATGACTGTAAAATTGTTTTCAAATGAACGCTGGTCGAGGTCAATAGCAAATAATCAAGTAGTTCTCTATCCGACATCTAGCGAACCTAATGATGGACAAGGGCGAAGCATAGGAAGGTTTCAACCGAAACCTGGCCCCATTATCATCTCATCCCTACACACAAAGAAAAATCGTTGCTAAAATTAATAAAACCATTGGTAGAATTAAAATTTTGCATTGGTTCTTTTTGGTAGAAAGCGGTTGGCTTTCAAAACAAAAGTCAGCCAACTGTTAAAGCAAAAGTTGACCGCTCACTACTTTCAAAAGTTAAAACTTTCAAAATAAATTGTACTACTGTCAAATTAAAAGCTCGGGAGTGGTGGAATTAAAATTGGCATCTTTTCAATTCAAAAAAAAAGTTTCGGTTTGAAAATGTTATATTTTTGAAACAATAAATAACATTTTAAATATAAAAAACAAAATTTTGAAATTAAAAACATGCATTTTCATTGTAATATCATCTTTTTTTCATTTTAAATTCTAAATAATATTTAATTTATGTAAAACAGATCAAAAATGTATTTATTTTCATTTCCTTTTCAACTAATTAACAATTATGTAACGAAATTCACAGAGAGACACAGATAGACATCCCGGTAAGTGAGGGTTGATACGAGGAACACAGAATCCAGACACTGACAAGGCAAGCTTGGTATTGTTTTCCATTTGCAGAAAGTACCAACTGGTGACGGATTCTACGGGCAGCTGGTCTTCGTCCTTCTCCCAATCAAAGCTGAATTTTCGTTTTTCCGAGGCTTGTAGTAGGGTTTGATCCTTCTCCGACAGGAATTTTATAAGGTCGATACCGAAAGCTGGCGTGATGTCGTCCTGGCAGATTTCATAATCTGATATAAAAAAGAATCTAAAATCCAATAACAATAACAATGAAAATAGTTTACTTACCATTTGGAATGTCAATTTCACATGAGTCTCCACGAGGGTCTCTAGCAGCGAATAATTTCGGAATATCTAACTAATAACAGTTCAGTTTCTGGTATCCCATAAAAGAACATGACTCTTATTGTAGCTTCTAACCTGGATTTCATGTTTACAGCGGCCAGACTAGTGAAAAGGGCGGCATATAAGATTCCAGTGCAGCCAGTAAAAACATCGCTGAGGGGTATTTTTGACAGTTGAACAACTTTTGTTTTAAAAATATGTACTTTTAAAATCAGGAGTCAAAAGTAAAAGAAAAACTTTCAATTAAAAAATCCAACTTTTATTTTGAATATTTTTGCTGTTGAAACTAAGAATTTTGGGAAAATTTTAAAATGAAAATGCATTATTTTTATTAATACAATTTTCGTTGTTTGTGTGTACAGGCAAAAATCGTTGTTCCATGACGGATCGAGTGTAGTTACACGGACATTCTGATGACTATCCTATATATGGGTTCGACCCAAGTGCAATTCGCTAAAAACAACAATGATCCGACCTCGGATCCGACTGGGTTCCGACGTCCACCTCTGCCAGGAAAAGGATTGGATCGGAAGGCAGCTGACTGAGATCCGGTAGGAGAATGCCAAATCTTTTCAGGTATGTTACAGGGGTTTTATTTTTGGTGTGTTTAACTAAGGTATATTCTTTAATTAATTTCAGCACAAGGAAGCTGTCCCATCCATGATGTCGTTAATTCCTGATGATTTCGATGATTTACAAAGTGTGGGAGTGAAAATGATAACGACAGCATTCTCCAAGGAGGGTTTCGGTGCAGCGTTGAAGATGAACAAGGCGTAGCGGGAAATGGAGGAAACTATTAAGGCCGGCGCACAATAGGTACGTTTTCGGGTTTTTTGACTGATAATGCATGGGCTAACTGTCAAAAAACCTGAAAACGTATCTATTGTGCGCCGGCCTTTAGTCTATGCTGATTGATTAGCTCACTGCAGATACAGATTAACCCGATTGGTTGAAATGCTGATAGCTGGCAAGTACAGATAGCCCGACAAGTAAAACAGGACATAGCAACAATCACAACCCCAGCCCGATACGAAACAACCTGGTGGTAGGTCTAGTCAGTCAAGCCAGCTGGAGCCCGGAATCGATCGCAACGGCCACGAAATAAAATGCAACCCTCGACGCAACCGAGGAAGGTGACTCTATCTGCGATGTAGGAAAGATTTTGTTTTGCTGTGTTTAGCTGCGCGCACGCTGAGTAGATAGAAAGCAGATTGATGACGATTCTGAAGATTTCCTGCAAAAAGATGATACGCGATGCTAGTAGATGCGAAAAATGATAGAAGAATGTTCGAAAATTCATTCGCTAGTGCGAGATTTTTCAATGAGATTTAGATGTGTCACCCTCCTCGGACGCAACCACAACCCATTCGATGATTGCTACATGCCCGGTGAGATGATCACGATGGCGATGATAATTACAAGTACAATTATTGTAAGGAAAAATTCAAAATAATTTTTTTTTATAATTAATTTATTTGTACAGGCTCAATCGAATAAACTTTACAGAGCCGAGTTATCCTTTGCGTTATACATTATTACCAACAATCAATCGAAACTAACGATTTTAAATTGGCTCACCACTTGACTAGCCTACCCTAATAAAAATTGTATGGTTAATTTGCTTAACGACGTGTTCTGGGTATCATACAAACCATTTGTGGAATAGTTCAATGATTTGGGTTATCGTTCGTTTATGGTTATTTTTTATTAGGGTATTGGCATAGAGGTAACTCTAAGACCACTGGGTCCCGAAGAAAATCATTATTATTTTTGGCTCACTCAGTACCAGAACAACGGTCCCAAGCAGTCCCAAGCTATTTCACTCACCCCTGCATGTTCTGCATGAATCCACACACCCCTGATGTTATCTGTCAAACTTTCATAGCGAATCAAAACAAGCATAGTGTAGTAATAGAATTTCAACTAGAATAGGGTACGTTAATCGTTTGCTTGGGACCAATAGGCTACTAAAGTGGTGAGCCAATTTAAAATCGTTAGTTTCGTATTGATTGTTGGTATTGGTCCCAAGCAAACGATTAACGTACCCTATTCTAGTCGAAATTCTAGTACTACGCATTGGTTTTCCCTATGTTTCGAGGGGTGAATCGATTAGCTTGGGACCGAAGAGAGTACCAGAGCTGAGCCAAAAAGTTGAGCACGTTATTTCGGGACCTTAGTCTTAGAGTTACCACAGACAAACAGACATAACACTCGTAAGTTGTTCATCGAACAAGCATTTAATGAACAATTTAAAAGTATCGTAGTTGGTAGTACCGCCACCTGTGGCGCGCATAGTCAATTCCCTTGCGTATGACGTTTACACACTACCGCCATCTGTTCAACGTAGTGCCCACCACTGTGTACTCAATAGATGGCGGTAATGTTTTAGTGACGATGTTTTACAGTGAGAAATATTCAATGTGTTATGTCTGTTTGTCTGTGGAGTTACCTCTATGTTATTACTGTTTTAAATTTAAAGTTAAAGGAGCTGGACCGAGTACTCGCGGTTGTCTCGAGGTTAGTGGAGATTTACAATTTTTTGGATGGGAAAAGGGAAGAAGGAGGTTTGAAATGTGGTTTACGATACAACTATTTAATTAATCCTAAAGCATGAAATTATTTCTATTCATCTTGAAAACAAACATTGAAAAAAAACCCCACACGTACAAAATACAAACTAAACACAAGGTTAATCAAACTTACAATCTAAGGTTAATATCCTTAAAGTAAACATATATGAGTTTCATAAACTCCAGATCGCGTCTAGCCAAAATATCCCGAAGTGGAACATTAGGTTGTCTACCTCGAGCCCCAAGGGAATCATAAAAATGTGATCTGACTCCACAATACCATAGAGGTAACTCTAAGACCGCTGGGTCCCGAAGAAAATCATTATTATTTTTGGCTCACTCAGTACCAGAACAACGGTCCCAAGCAGTCCCAAGCTATGTCACTCACCCCTGCATGTTCTGCATGAATCCACACACCCCTGATGTTATCTGTCAAACTTTCATAGCGAATCAAAACAAACATAGTGTAGTAATAGAATTTCAACTAGAATAGGGTACGTTAATCGTTTGCTTGGGACCAATAGGCTACTAAAGTGGTGAGCCAATTTAAAATCATTAGTTTCGTATTGATTGTTGACAATACTTCGCACAAGACCAAAGGATGTGATCAGCGTCCTGGTAACCTTGTCCACATTCACAGAGATTGCTGTCTCCCAACCCCACACGGAACAAGTGAGCGTTCAGACAATAGTGATTGGACATGAGACGAGACATCACGCGTATGAAGTCTCGACCTAAGTCCAACCCTTTGAACCATGCAAACTTCGACACCTTAGGGATAATTGAATGTAGCCATCATCCCAAGCTCCCTTCACTCCATTGATGTTGCCAGCTAACGAGCGACTGCTGACGATAAATAGAGAAAAATTCACTATAGGCGATTTGTCGATCATAAATGTGGGCGGTATACCTTCGCAAGTGAATCCGCCTTCTCATTGCCCAAAATTGAGCAATGCGAAGGGACCCACGCGAAGGTGATGATGAAAGAGCGCATGGATAAAGTACTAAGCAGTTCTCGTATTTTCAAGAGAAAATACGAGAAGTGCTTTACCGGCCTAATAGAACGGATAGCCTCGACACAACTGAGACTATCCGTAAAAATAAAGTAGTGGTGTGGAAGAAGTGAAGCAATAGTTTCCAAAGTGTCAAAATAAATAGCTTTCAATGTTTCTTCATACTTCGTTTCTCTATCCATTTAAAATGAAAATAAAATTCTAGTTCTGACAGCAGCCTGAATACAAACTAACCAAGTTTTAACTTAGATTGTATACTTGCAGAATATACATTATGACGTATAATCCATTTTTATACTAAGTGTGTATTCTCTGTCTTTATTCCAAGCTATGCGTCGGTCAGGAGAGTTGTGATTTAGTGTAACTTTTAATCTATTTAGATTTGAAAATCTTCTGAGTGTAGAGTTACCTCTACACGGAACCGTAAAATTACCCAAAATTAAGTTCTTTTCACTCATCTCCCATGTTCCGTTCAATAAGCTAATTTTCAGTAAATAGCTTATAGTAGTTTGCATTTGGCTACGGCAAAAATAATTACTTACTCGTATGTATTTTCTACCCAAAATTAAGTTCAATTGACTCAAATTTGAGAATATCTCGTATACTCACTAGTAGCTTATTGAACGATAGTCATGAGAAAGTCGAATCTCTCGTTCCGTTTTTGACAACAGCAAAAAGTCAGAGTGGGATGCAAAACTCAAAATTACCCTAAATTAAGTAAAAAGAACTTAATTTTAGGGTAATTTTTTTCTCTGTGTATGCTTTTATTATCTCCGCGCGTCTCTGATATAACATCGTCTCTGAATGGAACCTTCTCCATGTAAATCAGAAAAGAACTGAATAGATAGAAGCAATATAATTTTTTGTAGAGGAATTGATGAAGAATATCGTTTATTTCTTTGATAGAACGATTTTATATGTTTATACGGTTGAAAAATTTTGCTTACATTATTTGATTTTAATGTGCATCTCCGCGCCCCTTCCTTAGAAATTATATGTCGATATTTTCCTCGATACTTTTTCCTTGCAGGCAACCCTGCAGCCAGCTCCATCAATTTACTATCGAATCAAATCAGTGCCAACATTTCAAAGGGGCGTAATTGCATTTGTAAACAATGGCTTTAGCCTTCGATTTCTCATGAATAAAAGCTCACTCATGAAAGTTATTTACACCACCAAGTAGCGGAATGTTTCCTCTACCATCTAGAATTGTTAATTTGAAAAGGTGAGCTTTCAGTTGCGAGAAATCGATAGCTAAAGCCATTCTTTACAAAAGCAATTACGCCCCTTTGAAATGTTGGCACTGAAATCAAAAATAAAAACACCAACTGCGCGCATTTCCAACTGCCGCGGTGCAGAACAGTACTGTTTAACAGTTGTAATTGTAATTTATTTAGTCTACGAACAGCTAAGTTACAGCTGCAGTTTTAATTTTCATCGTAGACCATCAAAATAAAAATATCCTCAAAGATGTCTACCATCAAGCTGCGCACGACCATGCCCCGTCGAACGGAAGAGTTCGAATTTTCAGCTCCACAGTCGTCGCTGAAAAAACCACCCACGCAACGGTAAGAAATTAGAAACAATTCGAGTAGCTGACAATACAACATACCAACCAAATTATTATTCATATGCACAGACTAAGTCGTATTGCTCATCCCATTCGGAAGCTTACAAAAGGGAGTCTCGGTCATGGCTTAAATGAAAATCACCGTTCCGCTTCATGCGACCGTCTTGCAGTGGTTGACCAAACTCCGGGGACTGCACGCAAACTGCGGTTCAACAACAGAAGCCTCAGTGCAACACCAGCCAACAGGACTCCGCTGAGGGGTAACGAGAATAGTGCCATCCTTTCGACGGTGGAAAAGGATAAACCACCTCTGGAGAACCGCGAATGGATGATGGCACAGTGCGAGCGGATTCTTGACTATCTGGAAATGGTTCATGATCTGCCGAAGGAGTTCGTTGAGCGGAGGAACTTGAAGGCGATGTCCACGAAACAGTTTCTGGTGATAATTAATCATCTGTTTAGGCAAATCGGCGGAAGTCGGTACAAGTTGGGGACAAACTTCATTGAAGACATCATGAAGACGATGGCCGAGTTGGAATATCCCTATACGATCAACAAGTCAATGCTGAAGACACCGAACGTTCCCCACTCGATCAATCACGTCATAGTCTTGATCGGATGGTTGGTACAGTTGGCACCGCGTGTAAATCATGAGGTCAGCTATCCCTTGACGTATTATTCGCGTTCGGTTTACCTAACTCTTAAATTGAATTATTTGCAGATCACTCCTTTGAACCGAGACAGGGATTTATTGCAAGATTTTCCAAACTGCAAATATCAGGATTTCTTTTTTGAAAGGGTTCAGGATGGTTTCAGTTTGTGGAATTTAAAGAAGATGGCCGAGTACGATTCCATCGTTGAACAGCTAACCGATCAACTGGTAGCAGCTCGCACCAATGGTATGAATCAGCTAGAGATACGGCAAAAAATCTCCGAGATGGAACATGAAATCCAGGATTTGAACAACCGAACGATTCAACAAGGCAGAGAGCTTAGTATGGATGGGTTTGCCGAAAAGCTCCAGGATCAACAGCAGATGAAGAAAAAGCTTCAAGAGGAAGTTAAGAGCATACAAAAGCAGGCAAATAGGCTAGAAGAGGAATACTATTTCAGACAAGAGGAATATTACGCTCGAGTGAAGAAAATCGAAGAGCTGAAGCAGGAGATTGAAACCCAGCAGCTGGCTGCTTCCGAACGAGATGACATAATTAACTCAATTTCAGCCAATAAGAACCTTCTTACGGCAAAGAGACTAGCCGTCAGCTCACTGGAACAATCTTCATATGATCAGCAGATTGTTGTGTCCCGACTGATCAAGCAAAAGTTCAATTTGATTTCCAATCTTAACACGAACCTGCACCGGATGGCGAACAACCTTAAACCAATGATCAATTTCGAAGCACCAACATTAGATTTGAAAACGGAAAACTATGCGGACCTTCTTCAAGATCTGCGAACCATCAAATCACAGCTGGAGGCCGTGGTAGCAAAACAGTCCTCCCTCTACTCACAGCTGAATGAGGAAAAATCTCATCTGGAACATCAGCTATCTAATTTGCAAATCCACTTCGCGACCGTGGACAAATCTCTCCAGGAGACGACCGCTCGCTACGAACAGCTTCAAAAGCAACGCCAAGCGCTGATCAGCCAGTTGAGTGATATTTCTGCTGAAAATTCCCAAGCGTCCCATCGGACGCAAGACGAACAGATTTGCAAGGAACGGGAAATTATGCAGCTAAAGGACCAGTGTGAACAGAACAGGAAAGCCGTCGAGAAGCTGACCATGGAGAAGCAGAAACTGATGGCCCAGAATTTGGAGGAGTGCCAGCACGTCTTGGCTGAAAAGAAACGGATGCAGAAAGAGTTGACGGGAAAGCTCGAAAAGATGGAATCCGTGATTCAGGGTATTGAGCGCGAACTAGGGCCATTGGATTAGAGGGCTATTATAGGGTTGTGGAATTTGGATGGATGGGTATTAAAATTTATCTGTATTGTGTTTGTGGAGCGTTTGTAGCAGTGTTGCGTAGGTATGTGATGTAAGTATTAAACCGTTTCTGTTTTTAATTCTAGTGATTTCATGGTAGTCTTTCATTATTTTTTCAATATCACCATTCAAGTCCATCATTGAAAAGAGCGATGGCTTTGTTTTGACAATGCTTGCGTCTGAATCGAGTTCCAACTAAATGGATTTCTGGACGTTTGGCATAACTATATCAAAATTTCATCCAGATGAAGAAATAAAATAGGTAAATAATGCTACTCCCTTGCACTTCCGCCCCCGCTTCACTGAAACTCGTGCCCCACTGGCGTACTTTTAATAGAGATTTTCCCTTTCAAACATGAGCGTTCGAGTTGTATTGTTGCAGCTTTTTATTCATAAATGCATGACAGTCCCATTAGAATAGGAAAACAAGCAAAGATGTGGTTGTTATACTCAAGGCTGCCATATTGAAGACATCTGTAATTCTGTGAAGCCATTTTTCCCGCAGACATTTTGAAAACATTCCATGTTTTGTGACGATGTTTGAAGGTATGTTGAAATTCAAGAAGACTTACGATGTTTTATTTTTTTTATTTTAAGCAGACATATGATGATTTTTGTTATAGAAATGAAGCGTTTGAATTTATATTTTAAGGTCCTTCTTGAAAATATTGATGATTATGGATTATGATTAACCAGCCATCTTGGAAGACATTTAAATTTCTGTACAGTTCTTGAAAATGTTACTAGATGGACTCGGTAGCTTAGTGGTTATTTTCTGCTTACTGAGCAGAAGGTCGGGAGTTCAATCCAAGGTCCGTCCCCTTTCTTGCAATTTTACAATCTGCCTTATTCTATTCCTATCGCTATTATAAATCTACCAGCAACGTTTACCGAACGTATCCTATGGCTCATCCTCCCCACGAACAAACGTCCAAACTCCTGTAGAACTTATGAGAGGCCGTAGAGTTCTCTGCATCTGTCTTAAGTAAGTGTCCAACTAACAGTACTTTCCAACAGTTGCAGCAGTTGCAAGGACGTGGCCAGGACAATTCTCGATTGTAGGAGACAGTGCTACGTTCATCTATCAGGCTATAAGGCCTTGATGTCCTCTGCTGTCCGAAGAAGTCGTCTCCACTCTACTCGAACCATGGCCTTACGTACTTGGCCGATCCGCCTTGGCCGCTGCGCGCCTTTTCTTATTGTTCCTGTTGGGTCGCTTTCGAGAACCATTTTCACTGGATCGTCGTCCAGATTCTTACGACATGCCCAGCACACCGTTCGAAAAAACCATTCCAGGTCTCGTGGCCGTAGAGGACCACCGGTCTAATCAGCGTCTTGAAGATAGTCAATTTCGTGCGGTGGCGACCTCCGGAGTCCAAAATAATGCGTCTTTGAATTTCCCTGCTAGTATCATTTTCGGCGGTCACCAGTGAGCCCAAATACACGAACTCGTCGACCACCTAGATTTCGTCACCTTCAACCTGAACTCGGGGTGGGTGGCTAACGTTGTCTTCCGTAGATATAACCTTTTCTTCTCATGTATTTCGTCTCCGATGCATTGATTGCAAGTCCAATCCGCCTAACTTCAGCCTACAGTCCGATGTACGTTTCCGCCATCGTCTCAAAGTTCCGTGCAATGATGTCGATGACATCGGCGATGCCAAGAGCTGGATGAACTTCCTGAATATCGTGTCACTCGTGTCTTTCCTAGCTCTTCTGATCACACCTTCTAACGCAATGTTACATAGCAGACACGAAACTCCCTCACCTTGCCTTCAAGATTCAAAGGGACTCGAGAGTGTCCCCGATACTCGAACACCGTTCATCACTCGATCCACCGTCGCCTTGACCAATCGCGTCAGTTTATCCGGAAATCCGTACCAGTTCCGTGAACTCAAATGAAGCTCCCTGAACTTATTTCCCATCTATTGAGCTTATCGGAAGATTCTAGCGCCCCTATGAAGTTCTCTGAACTTGTGGAGCGTCCCACAAACTTCTGTAACATGCTGTCAACTTCTAAGAAGCTCCCTGAAATTCTACGACTATTCTAAAGTTTGAACATTTTTAAAATTTTCTCAACTTGTTCGAAGTTCCCTGAACTTGTTCCAAATTCCATATGTTTTAAAGGGTGATACGGTCAAAATTTGGTCAATATCAACTTGACGTATTTCTTTCAATTTTGCATTTAAAAAACCTGAACACCCCTCATTTTGAAGGTGTGTGTGTGTAGAATGTTGCTCCTATTTTGATTTTGGAATTCACTCTTCAGTTGTCAAAATGCCGTCCAAGCAAGAAGAGCAGCGTATCAAAATTTTGCTCGCGCATCGCGAAAATCCGAGCTACTCGCACGCAAAGTTGACAAAATCGCTAAAAGTTGCCAAATCAACCGTTACAAATGTAATTAAAGTGTTTGGGGAACGTTTGTCGACAGCCAGGAAGTCTGGATCGGGGGGAAATCGAAAACCGGAAGCCGCTGAGACGACAAAGAGAGTTGCCGGTAGTTTCAAGCGAAACCCTAACCTCTCTCTCCGAGATGCCGCAAATAAGCTGGGTGTATCGTCTACAACCGTGCATCGAGCCAAAAAACGAGCCGGACTATCGACTTACAAGAAGGTAGTGACTCCAAATCGCGATGATAAACAAAATACGACGGCCAAAGCGCGATCCCGGAGGCTGTACACGACGATGCTGACGAAGTTTGACTGCGTGGTAATGGACGACGAAACCTACGTCAAAGCTGACTACAAGCAGCTTCCGGGACAGGAGTTTTATACGGCAAAAGGAAGGGGAAAGGTAGCAGATGTTTTCAAGCACATGAAACTGTCAAAGTTCGCAAAGAAATATCTGGTTTGGCAAGTCATCTGTACCTGTGGCTTGAAAAGCAGCATTTTCATAGCTTCCGGGACTGTCAACCAAGAAATTTACGTGAAAGAGTGTTTGAATAAACGTCTGCTGCCTTTCCTGAAGAAACACGGTTGTTCCGTACTGTTTTGGCCGGATTTGGCATCTTGCCATTACGGTAAAAAGGCCATGGAGTGGTACGCCGCCAACAACGTGCAGGTGGTTCCCAAGGACAAGAACCCTCCCAACACGCCAGAGCTCCGCCCAATTGAGAAATACTGGGCTATTGTCAAGCGGAACCTAAAGAAGACCAAAAAAACTGCTAAGGGCGAGCAGCAGTTCAAGGCAAACTGGCTTTCTGCGGCGAAGAAGGTGGATAAGGTGGCTGTACAAAATCTGATGGCAGGGGTCAAGCGTAAGGCCCGGTAATTCGGATTTGGAAAAGCGGAAGCCTAACTGAATATTTTTCCTGAATTTTATACTAATTGAACTTGAAAAAGAAATTTAATTTGATTTTTTAAATAAACGATTTCACCGATTTACACGCGTTTTCCCTTGACCAAATTTTGACCGTATCACCCTTTAATTCTATCAAGACCTCAGAAAATCTATGAGCTTCTTCGAACTTCTGGAAAGATTCTAAACCTTTTCTGAGCGGTTCCCTGAAATGACACGAAGTTCCCATGACAGTTCAATGAACTTTTTCGAAGTAAGTCCTGTGACAAATTGCTACGAAGTTCCCTAAACTGATACGAAGTTTGCTGATCTCGAAATTTAATTTACCGAGCTTCTACGAAGTTCCATGAAATATTTCCTGCACTTCAATGAAGTTTAAGTTTCCCGAATCCCTAATTCGCTTAACTTGCTCATTGATCGTTGAACTAATATGAAGTTCGCTGCACTTTTATGAAGTTTCATGCACTTTTAAGAATATCGTTGAATATCTACAAAGCTCTACGAAGTTTCCCAAACTTCTACGGAATTTCCTAACCTATTTCAAGTCCATTAAACTCCATTAAGTGAAAATAAGATCTCCGAACTTTTATGATGTCCCCTTAAATCAAGCAAAGCTCCATGAACTTCTATGAAGTTCCCCATACTTGTACAATGTTCCCGCTTCTACGAAGTTTTCCCGAATCTCCCGAGTTCTACGAAGTTTCTCGAATTTTTACGAAGTTTATTGTATTTCTACGCATTTCTACGATGTTCTACTGTGTTTCTTACATTTCTACGATGTACCCTGAAGTGTTTTTGTATTAAATTAAAGCTGAATAAAAATCCTTGAACTTCAAAGAAGCTCCCCGAATTTCAACGAAAATCGCTAAATTTCTATAAAGTTCGATGATTTTTTACAAAGTTTGAAAGTTCTACGAAGTTTTCCGAACTTCTACACAATCCGCTGCACTTCTAGGCGCAATTCCCTGAACTTTTAAGAATTTCTCGTTGATTTTCTACGAAGCTTTCTGAACTTCTACGGAAGTACCATGAAGTTAAAAGAAGATCCCCGAACTTATACGAACTTCCCTGAAATTAATTGAATTTCTACTAAGTTCTCTGAACTTTCCCGAATTTCTAAGATGTTTCTTGTATTTCTACGATGTACCCCGAAGGTCCACGGTCCCTGAAGTATTTCAGTATTTCCCTTGAAGTTGAATAAAAGTTTTTGAAATTCAATAAATCTCCCCGAATTTCAACTAAATTACGATAAATTTCTACAAAGTTTGGTGAAGTTTAACAAAGTTATTTCTACTTCTACAAAATTTGCTGAGCTTCTAAAAAATGATCTGTCCTTCGACGAACTTCACTGAAGTTCTACAAAGTTTTCTGAAACTCCACATAATTTGCTGCATTTCTACAAAGTACCCTGAACTTTATCGAAGTTTCCATACAAAGTTTCATGAAGATCTACAAGCTTCCTTGAATTTCTACATTACAAATACAAATTGCCCTATGTCTGTTAAGACTCAGTCATATATATATATATATTTCTGAAATATTGAACTCCCTCTCCCCCTTATAGCGGTGAATACATTCCTATTTTATTATCAAGCAGGGGATGTATTTTCGATCCCAATATTCAACCACAGACAAACAGACGTAACACTTTGAAAAAGTTTTTCTTGAAAACAGTACATATCTCAAAACATAGGACCTCAGTAACGACATCTCTCTGGCTTCTCGCGGAAAACAAGATTGCCCGCTAACTCGCAAACAATATTGCATAAAAGTTCTATACACGAAACGAAAATCAATTATTTTATTCATGTGTTTCACTTATACATTTTTGCCAAAACATTAGCCTTATATATTCCATAAGACAAACCACATAGGTCCTATAAGAATGCATAAAAGGTATGTGTGACCGCTTATACATTTCATTTGACACGTGATCTTCATTAACTTTTTGCAAGGCGTCTGCTTTATTAGTTGACTTATACATTTTATGAATAATCAGCAATAGAAATTTGCCAAAAGGTATAAGGAGATTTCTATCCAAGTAGAATGTATAGAAACGTCAAAGTGATCCGATGCCAGCGCTGCGGCGAGTAATTCGCGGAACTGATAATATTCAAATCAACCGTTAAATGCGTGAACAAAGATACACAATGAAGTGTTACGTCTGTTTGTCTGTGATTCAACAATCCCGATTATTTTCCCCAACCCCTGTATCAGATCGCATGGTATATTTACACTCATATTTTTTAAGGAAAAGAAGCACTCAATTTTTCCATTCTATGTTTGCCCAATTGACGAAGTAAATCCAGTGACATTTTAATGTGTTTGTACGAAATTGAAACTCAAAGGACGAATTTAGAATCAGTGTTGTATTTTTAACCAAATACAAACTATTAGGAGCACATATCAAATCTTTCAGTACACATCTCGATCAATTTTTGAATTGGTCCTGTGTCCATTTGTCGATCAAAAACTGTATTATCTTGATTCGCTTCACAACGCGATGGATTTGCAATATTGATGAATACAATCAAAAGTCCAAAGGATTCATGGAAGTTGATGAGAATTTCCAAGGATCTCTATGAATTTCAGTAGAAAATGCCAAAGAATTATTTTTAAGAAAAGTGAAATTTGAGGATTCCTTTAAACCTTTAAAATAAATTTGTTCTGAGGAACTCCAGACTCCAGGTCAAACGTAAGGAGAATTCCAAGGTCGTTCTGAGTAGAATTACAAGTGTGAGTGTGGATTCATAGTGAATTTACAAGAGAGTTCTGTGTGATATTCCAAGATAATTCCAAATAGAATTCATATACAGCTCTGACTAAAACCACAGAGAACAGACGTTCAAGCACCGACAAACCGACATGAATGACCATAGCCAAAACAATAAAATGTCTGACCAAAGCACACTACTGACATCTGGCTCCGTGTATGCGGGAAATATTTAGCTAAGCCATGAACTCGCATGCAAAAGTTATGACTTGGTTCGTGTCTGATCTATTCTGGACAAATTATTGCTATCTAGTTAAAAAAATCCTATGGTTTCGACAGTTCGGATCACTGCACATTTAAATCGGCCGTTTACGATTTTCGGGCATAAGTTAGAATTAAGTGTCATGTCGGTTTGTCGGTGGTTCAAGTTCGGTCAGAAACTTGTGTAAAGTTAAGTGAAAACGTCGCCGTTACGTAACGTTAGCATCTCCTGATTTCCTCTATAAATTTATCACTTTCGACCAATTTGGCGCTAGTATTATCTGCTGAAAATTGCCACTTGGCGCTACCAGCACTTAGTGTCTAGTGTAAGTTGTGCAACGCCAGCGCTATTATGTTGTCAAAGAGGGTTTATAAGTGGGGAAGTCGCCGTTAGTATCGCTTAAGTCGGATAGGAATCTTTACACAAGTTTTTAGAGAAATTTTGTTCAAGCCTAAACGTCTGTTCTAAAGTGCTTCCATTGAACATTTTACCCCCATTTCCACTATAGTAGAACACATCTCAGTGAAAGTGGTTCGGTATTGTATTCTTCTAGGATGTGACATCAAACAACCACGTAAAAACATAAACCATTTTCTATGGATGTTTGAATTTACATTCCTCCTCTTCAAACGGACACCCATCTGGATGATTACCATAGAACCAGCAAGGCTTCTCCTTCAGGTTCACTATTCTAGGATTCTTCTGTTTCTTCGGCTTCCTTTTCAGCTCTTCCGAACTTCTGCTGCTCTGTCCCTCTCGGGTTGGAATCCGCAGCTGGACAGAACCCTCCAGTACCTGAAATATCTGGTAATTGTTCTTCAACAACGTCTGCAGTCCACCGCATTCCGATTTCAGGCTGTTCAATTTATCCTGAGGAATCAACTTTATCAGATCACCAATACCGATCCTACCTCCAGCGTTCCAATTTCTCCCGGGAAACTCACTGGCCATTCGTTTCTTCGCAATCAAAGCATCGAACACAATGCGCACTATGTCGTCAATTATGCTCCGTTCTATTTTGGTGCAATTCCTCACCTTTTCCACACTGTCCCGCGGTCGGAAACCCTCGGACCAATTCGCATCACTCTCTTTCCTAGCACCGGAAGTTCTTGAATCTATGAACGATTGAATTCTGCTGCAATATTCTTCAAACTGCTCCTCCCTGTACGTCCTTGTCGAGCCTACCAAGCAAGTCCTCTTCGTACTTGGAATCTTCAACCTATCAACGGCCGTTTCAAAACCACATACCTCGGAAATCTCCCCAACGTAACGCAAAAAATCGTTGTACTGGCTTACGCTGGAATTTTGCCGCTGAAACTTAGTCCCATCGAACTCAAAGGCACAGCACGGCAGCAGAAAGAACCGACATCGGTAGGCACTTCTCGCTGCCAGAACCGGAATCCACGGCGACAGTTCATCCGAGTGATTTCCTATAATCCAATCGATTTCCGGAAATAGCGCATCATCCGACGGTACAATCGATTGCTCCCTCAGCTTCACATTCGCCGGAAAGAGGTCCCAAATCTTTCTCTTCCGCAAATCGATCCCCAATCCGTCGTGTCCTTCGGAAGCCAGAATGTACACCAGCAACCCATTGCCACAGCCGATGTCGACGAACGATTGCAACCGATCGGAACCGCTTTCTTCTCGTTCCTGTTTCCACAGAAGCAACATATAGGTGGCAATCGCCACATCCTCATATACGTACTTTTTCGGATCGGTCGTCTCCGGCCAAATCCTAACCATCTCCGTTCCGTACTTGGCTTTCAGTTCGCTATAGAAGCGATTGTACTGTTCCAAATCGTTGATCAACGACAGTGACACGATCTCGCCTTTGCTGGAAGACTTCGTTGCTTCCTGTACGTTGTTGTCGATCCATTTCAGAAGTCGTTGAAAGAGGACATCCTTGAGCCATATGGACGACTTCTCGTCCTGTTTTGGATCGTCAGAGCTTTTAATTGAAAGATTATGATCTTCCAACTGAATGGAGAAGGCAAATTTAGGAGTTAGATTGTTCTCCACATCCTGAAGGCACACGAATGACATGGACTGTGATTCGAAATCTAAGAATTAGAAAAACTTGAAATCCTGTAACGAGCTATTCTCTTGATTCAAATTTTTACCTATAATGGCCAGCACATCCAGGGGGTTGAATACGGTTAAATTTCTCGGAAGAAACCTGTTCAGCACCACATATCCACTACGATGTCTTTGTTCGTTAAACTTCAACCTGTTCAAATCGAAATCTTCGACTTTTTGGACGTGTAAGTCGTATCTCTCACATACATGTTTTATTGGGAAATTTTCAGCTTTCTCCGGTCCCACTGGTTCATCCTTGATTTCCTGTAGTAACTTCTCAATATCCAAACCTCGATCCGATTGGTTGTAGGAAAACGTGTGAAGATTGCTGGCTCCGAACAGCTTCCGGTTCACGACGTGCGGCTTGTACAGATAGATACCGGCAGCCCGGAAAAGATACTCCAGGTTTATTCCCGGAACTTGCTGCGAGATGATGATCTTGTTGAACATAGCTTTACTTCGGCTTATTGCACTTAAACTGATTTATGAATTTGGAAGATCTTTTTGAATGTTTGGATTGTTTACGTTTTGAGAAACATCATTGTTCCTTTATTTTGATGATTGACTTTCAACGATGATGATGGTGGATTGCATGCAAGTTTTTGATGACATTTGATGGGAACACCCCTGCAGGAGCCGGCTCTATCGGGCGCCCGCGAATTAGGTCGACGATATTAAGGACAAGGTTTGTATCTGAGTACTGCGGAGTAAATCGATTTCATTTTGCAAGCCAATGGAAAACTGCTTGAAAATTTGTTCAAGTTTAAAATTGTTTTGTTCTTTCTCAGTTGATTCCCGCCAAAAGCTCTGAGCCAGGAGTGCTCGAGCCCCCATGACTCCAACAAAGTTTGTTTACAAACATGTTTCGCCAAAGTATGTTTTACTGCAATTGGGTTCTTTAATTTTGAAAAATATATCGGTTTTTATATATTATCTGAAAGAGCTTCGTTTTTTGAGCACAGCTATATTTTTTTCGAACCCACACACTTCCATCTCGATTTTTAAATCAAGATTTAAAGCAAAACATAACTTCACTGTTTGACACTAAACTGACAAACTGACAGCTCGCTCCCATACAAAGTGACACCAAGGGGCGCTAATAAGGTGATTTTTGCAAATGTAATCGTTCTTATTTAAAATAGTTCCAGTGTGCCAAAATTGATGAAATTTTGGGTTTGGGTTTCATTTCTAATGCAGATTACGAATATGCATATACCTCAATACCCTTAAATAACCCAATTGAAAACTCAGCTGAGTCATAAAAACTACACAGAAAAAAAAGTTGTTGAATATTACATCCAAACTGCTGCAACCAGGTCAATCCATCGGTTGTGTAATATAACGTTGTACAATGTACATCGATTTTGCGAACAAAATTACATCCATTGATGTAATATTGTATCTGCTGTTTGCTATTACATAATTATTTCATACATCAGCTTGAATTACATTGATCGATATTACATTTTTGTTTGCTGTGTATGCTGGTTTTTATACTTTCATCATTGGGCCTGTTGGTTTTTGTCTTTGAGCTTACAATTAAGAATGTGTTATGAAAAAGTATGAATCATTTTTATGAGATTGCAATGCTTGACGAGAGGTAAGAACAGTAACTGAGTTTGTTGCTTCTGAATGTTTGGCTCCCGTTTGACAGTTCTGACTGGCTCCCAAGTGGCAAGCACATTGAGTGAGTCCACAGTACCCAGGTTTGTATAATCCACAATATTAATATATTGGCCATTGTCATGGCTGATTTGCCTAGTAGTGGTCATTTGTGGATTCTATCAATCTACCCGCATAGAAAATAACAATTTCTAGAACAGTTCAAACATTACCTACACCATACCAGCTATGTTAACTTTATTCAAGATTACTCAGTAATGGTTCATGAAATACCAAAGAAATATTACCATAGAGGCATGAATTTCGTTTCTGCACAAATCTATTGGTGGGAGTATTTAATTTAAACCATCAATATAGTAATTTTGCCTATGGATTTTGTTTCTGTGTAGAGTTGTGTTGAGCAACTATGGAGTCGAAATCAAAGCAGCTGGACATTCTTGGAGCATACCACCATGATGTGATTTTAAAGAAATATGTTTGTTTATAACTCATTTCCTCTCGGTAATATTTTTATTAATCTTAAAATAAACCTATCATAGAGGTAACTCTAAGACTAGAAGGTCCTGAAGAGTCGTGCTCAACTTTTTGGCTCAGCTCTGGTACTATCTTCAGTCCCAAGCTAATCGATGCACCCCTCGAAACATAGGAAAATCCACGAACCCCTCATTTTATCTGTCAAACTTTCATAGCGAATCAAAACAAACATAGTGTAGTACTGGAATTTATACTAGAATAGGGTACGTTAATCGATTTGCTTGGGACCAATAGGCTAGTCAAGTAGTGAGCCAATTTCAAATCGTTAGTTTCGAATTGATTGTTGGTTATATATGTATGGTTATACTGAAAACAAGTGTTTTCTGCAAAATTGTATTTCTACCTATGGTCTTTGTTTCAGTGTAAGCAAACATTTTGCACATCATCATACAAAACAGTCCGTATCCACTGTATGCCACATAAGTTGCGACAGCATTATAACCTCAATAAGTATATGGTAATTTCTACCTTGATGCTAACAACAACCTCGCTAACCATTTCGTGAAATTTCTTAAATTTTAGAAACATCGATCTTCAAAGACATTCATAAGAAAAATCGATAGCGATTGTCACCATTTCATGACGATATGTACAGATACTCACACAAAAAACAAAAATTGTTGCTATAAAAATAATGCAATTTCAAAATGAAAGTTTCCCAAATTTCGTTGTTTTAACTGTGAAAATTTTCAAAATGAAAGTTATATCTTTGGTTTGAAAGTTTTTCTTTCCCTTTGGACTTGTGATTTTAAAAGTGCATTATGTTTTTATAAAAGTTGTTCAACTGTCAAAAATACCTGTTCATAGCAAAGTTTTTGGCAGCACTGAAGCTCTGAACCCAACTTTATTTGCCGCCAAAATTGAATTTGAGTGGACCAGACGAAGTAAAAAAAATCATTTTATGGTGGAATCAGTGTACGAAAACTACCTCCAATCGATGCTGATGACATTTATGAATGTCTTCACCATTCTGCTGGATATTGCTACGGTGAGTGTTCCACTTTTGTGGTATGCAATGGTTGTGGCTTGTATTTCAAAGGTTGTATTTTTGTTTTTGTAGATTCCTTATCGTCAGTTCATGGAGAACAATGTTGCTCCAGCAGGAAGACGTCCACATTCATCAGGAAGACGTCGTCAAGAATGCCGTTTCTATGGAGTGATATTGGGATAAGCACTCTTCGTAATCATCGCTTTCCTTTTGTTTATCGTCATTTTGAACGAGGAAAATTCCGAAAATGCCGTGGACCCGAGGTTGGACCGAATACCTTCTTTTGTTTACTAGGACTCGGACCAAATTTGCTCTGGTAATTTTAACCATGTATGATTTTGTTTTTTGTTTATAAAATATATGAATAAACATTATTTTTATTTTTATAAATCATGTAAATATGAGTACCCAATTTTATTTAAATTTTGAATACTATTAATCTGAACATATTTCAAATTTGAGATAAAAACATATATTGTCATGGAAAAAACGACTCCTTTTGAACTGAAACAATTTCTACTTTATTTTAAAAACATTGATTTTCCTTTTGACAGTTCTACAATTTGATTCAAAAGCTTCAACTTTTAAATTTATCGAGGACGTAAACTTTTGATTTGACAGGTTACACATTTTTATGATGAATGCTTTGGACTTTCTACCAAAAAGAACCAACGAAAACTTTTAATTCTACCCATGGTATTTTTAATTTTAGTAACGATAATTTTTTGTGTGTAAGAGTCGAATAGTAACTCATGTTTAAAGATCTTTTTCAAATTTTTTCTACCAGATCAAAATATCTATCACATACTGATATTTGTGATTTTTTTTGTTATCTTCATAATTGCTAGCTTCGATCCCATGCTATCTGGAGCGCACTGATTTCATTGTTGGTTGCTAATCCTCGTGTTCACGACTAACAAACACACTCTAGCATATAGTGTATTGAAGTTTCTGTTAATCTTGTCATACATGAATTCAATACTTATTTGTAACAACCCTCAACTAGTCAGTCATCCACGTGTAATAGAGGACAAAAAGGTTAAACAAATTCGAGAAACCTACCATGCTTGCTATCACTGGTTATAAAGTAAATAGACGTAAACTTGAAGAACTACAATGGCAAACATTTGCTTCGTCACTGCCATCGATCTGTCTTCCTGTTAAATTACCAGCTTCTTCCGATGGCACTTGCCAAATTTGTCGATAAATAATATAAATATTGCCATCTGCTGTGAATCGAACTTTCTTTACCCAGCTATAAATACAAATCGATAACAAGGAGATTACAGAGTCGTTGCATCGATGGAAATATTTGTTGTTTTCTGCTGAAAGTTCAAAGTTACGATGGTATACGCGATGGTATCAGTATTTGTATATTTTTAGGTGAATATTTGTAAGTATCGATCAATAAATATTTTTAAATAATTACCTTAAAATCATAGAAACTTAAAAGTAAAGAAGTCATAAATCTATTTTTGCTTAAAGAATGGTTCGTTATAAACCATTTTACCTTATTAGATGGTTTAAAAATAGGCTTCACATACAACTTAAACCTTTGCTGATGTTGTTAGGCTATAAGCCCTTTACAAAAAATGCATCGGAAAAGGTGTGAATTCGAATATGATATATTTTTATTAGGGAAGTCAGACCGAACCTACTTGATAATAGCAACAATAATAGGGTCTTCAGAAACAACCAGACAGATCTATTCGGTATCAAGCACAAGGTGTCACCCACCTCACCTCAAACTTGGTTGACCCGTTCTATGTTCTGAAAATATCGTTATGAAAAGTATGAATAATCACGCCTAAAATGTTGATCTCCGAACATTCTGGAACATTCCACCTGATTCTACTGGAGCGAGAAAGATTGTGCTGTAGAGCACGGAGCTTGAAGATATAAATATGCGGGTGGGCTAGCACATCGAGTTAGTGCTGTCAAGCGATTGCAGAGTGCAGACCGCAGTTTTTGAAGTTCGTTGAGACTGATCTCGAAGTTCATTAAATAGTTCTCCATCCTAGTCACCATCAGTGTTTGCGAATCGAGTCACGAAACTTGTATAGATTTGTTCATTGAATTGTGCCTTTGTCACATTATTTTTTCACCTGTATTTCCATCAGGGATACGAAAGTATACATAGATAGAATCGTGAATCAATTATTAGTCAAAATAGTTAGGAAATGTTTAAAAAAAAACATCGTCGTTCCAACTTCCATGTGTCGACTTAATCAGAAGCGGACTTGCGATCCAAACCCGGCAGTCGAGTCCGATCGGGAAAAGCAGCTGCTCTGTGTCTGTGTTGGTGAAAGCGGCGAGCAACAAACGCATTTTGAGTCCGATTTTCATCATCGTCAAATGTCTCGCGACGGTTCTGTTTTGTTTGCTCTATCGAAAATCGTTCGATAAGTGGTGAAAAACCTGTCATATTCCCGTAGTTTTCCCACGGAAATGTGCGGAAAAGTGCAGTGCGTGTGCGGAATATAAAATCAACGGGAAGATTTCGTGAGAAGTACGTGAAAATAGCAAATAACCCAAACCTTTCCTTCTGGGTCTGGATCGGCCGTGTTGTTTTGTCGAGTTCGTTCGAGTATCATCGAAAGACAGTGCCAGAGTTGTTGGTTGGAAGATTGTGTTTGTGTTGTGTTGAGTGCGCGTACGCGCAAAAAGGAGGAAAACCTGTAAGCAACAACAACAACAACTACAACAGAAACAGAAGAGCAACCCGAGAAAGGGGAGTACGGGAGAACACACGATTAGGGAGTAGTAGTTGGCCGAGCGTTTTATTTTCGCTGCTGGTAGTCATTGGAGAAGAACACAGCGTATCTGAAAAGAACGAGCGGTTGGCTGGGCAGTGGTTGGTGTTCTTGTTTTAAATTTGGCGAACGACGTGCGAAAAAACGACGGGAAGATCAAGGTGAAATACCACCTAAACAGACACAAAATGGAGATACCCGATGATCGTGTTTATGCCGCTGAGCGGATTATGAAGAAACGTGTTCGAGCGGTGAGTATTGCCCGTAAAATAGTATACTATTTCGGTGGACAGGAGAGTGTTCCACAACTTTCCAGAAATTGCTCTCCCCACGACCACTCTTCGTCCTGGCAGGCCCATGCACATAAGTTCAGCAGGCTCTTTTTTGTTGGTGGTATTTGTTCTTCGTACATTTGTGTGGGTTGTGTTTTCCTATTACGTCATTTGGCTTCGCCTCCTGCTTCCACCTGTGTTCTCCCGGTATCCGGATTTAGAAACGCAATAATAATGGATCTCTGTGTGTTCCATTCTGACGGGGAGATGGCGAGACAGGGCAGGCTGAGGGAAGAGTTGCACATTGGAGCATCGTAATAATACCGCGCTATAAATGCGATTCCATGAATTGCTTCGAAGCGCGGCGGGTAAGATTGTTTATGTTTTTCTCCCCTTGGAAAGATCGGATCCAATCTGGAACCGAGGCATCGCGGATGGTGCTTAAAGGCGTCGCACACTTGTTGGGTTGGCGGCAGGATTCAGGTTGCCTACTTGCTGAAGAGAGCGTCTGGAATCCTGCCGTCGATTGAGCTTTGCGTGTTTTGTATGTGAAAGGTCGCATGTCGGCATCGGTTTTCCTGTATGTGGTTGACCTTGACTGGTTTGTTCCTTTTTTTTCTCCCCTCTATCCCGTTTGTGTGGTTTTATGTTTGCTGCATATTGCGGCGTGGGTTTTGTTTTGCATTTCGATTAATTTGATATGTGTTTCACTCAAATTAACGGCTAAGCTTTTCGAAAGAAATATGATTTTTTCTCTCATAAGCTAGTAGTTGATAAACCGACTTTAAATCCTGCTTTCTAACAAAACAGATCCCGGAATATCCAATATGTTGCCAGGCAAAAATGAAATTTAATTCGAAGTTTTAATGGGAAAGGGTTCTCAAAAAAAAAGGATTTTTCTAAATAGCAGTCAATATCTTAGCAGCTAAATAGAGGCAGGCAAACAAGAGTGTGTTTACGAAATGTACTGAAGTCAAACTAAGTTAGTCAACGCATTGACTGCATTTTTAGTTCCAACGTGAAATCTATGCTTTTATGAGCCAGCGACACGTGGTGCATATCAGCAGAGAAGTACACTCGAAAGGTCTTCAGCACTCGATGAAGTCTTTATAACTGGATCACATCCATCGTCGTAGATGTGTTCAGAAGCCGATATCAATAGAAATTCGAGGCTTAAGTGGAGATGGGTCGGCCACACACTACGAAGCCAGCGCCGACGTAGCAGTCAAACCAGGTCAAAACCTGGGGCCTAAGATGAAAGCAAACATTCATTGTCTAAGCATAATGGAAATTGTTGGATTACTGGAACACTACATAAACATTGTAATTGTCATCTTATTTTTGTTAAATTTCCTATAAAGAAGTAACTACGTTTGTTCAAGCTCTTTCCATCAACGTCGGAACTACATCAATTTGGTGACGATGATTAAAGATTCTGAGGCAATGGCAAACTACAAATGCTAGGGCAACCAAGCACCTTCGAGAAGTCGTAAAAGCCGGCACGCAAATCTTTTCAATTCCGCATCGCTAACCCGGTATGTCAACTATATAATGCCGAAGCATGTCAAGGATGGCAACTTCACCGACAACGTCGAAACCCTCAAGAAGATTTTCGATATACAGACCTCCATCTTCAACAAACACCATCAGTGTATACAGTTGGTGAAATCAGAAGCGAAATATGTACATCTTCAGCTGCGGAGATAAGGTGAATCTTACCTGTGGATTTCGACTTGTAAAGTTAGTCCAATTCAAATGCTTGATCTTTGTCGGTGGTCTCAACGCATATTGCAACGCACTCTCCCGGATCAAAGGCAGATGCTCCCGTAACTCTTCAATTCAACGCGGACACTACCGCGATCGAGCGTCAGCCAAGTTCAAAACCAACGGCGGAGCACAATAGAAGAAGGGAAGTCATCGAAAACGGAATGTGAATTGCTCCATACACCTAGTTGTCGATGCATTCTCGTTGGCCACAAGAAAGGCTACTGTGTCTGCCTTTCTAGAACATCCAAATCAGCTCAAACACTATTTACGTATTTTAACAGTGCAGTTAGATAGAAGACAGGTCCGGCTCGAAAAAAAATAATCGTCGCCACTCACAGCTTCCGGCTTAAAGTTCAACCTCGTCAAGTACCTTATTCGAAATTTTATGCATAATTTGGCTAAGAACCTGTTTCTGAATCTCGCTCGGAATCTTGTCTGGAGTCTCTTGGGTTTTGGCCATGCATAACTATTGGAACCTTATTCGGTATCTTGTCTAGATCTTGATAGTAGCTCCGACGTGCAGATCCTAACGAAGCGCCCAGAACTTGAAGCCAGCTCCTGAGTTTTTCAAATACAAATAAATTAATAACTCAAAATGTCGAACTCATTTGAGGGGGTTAGAAGGAAAGGGGTGTGAGGGCCCATGCATTAATTATTTCACGCTAAATCGAGCAAAAAATTACCCTCTCACCCCCTATCGTGGTTTTTCCTATACCTAATGCATTGCTTGTCACAAAATCTTAGACCCCCCCCCCTCCCCTTTTAGAGCGTGACTTAATATATGCATCAACCCTAAATGACTTTGATCGATTCTCTTCATCAAACTTTCTCTTTTGATAGCCACAGCTTTATAAACAGATTTTGCGCTACTTCTACCACATGGTTTGATAAAGGAATTTCTCATCTAGCATCCAGAATGGCACACGAATCAAGGAATGTGTTTGCAATTGAATTATTAACGAAAGAGAAAGTCGATGAATAGAATCCATCATAGTCACTTACACCCCTTTCCTTCTAACCCCATCATTTTAAGTTGAAGCTGTAGCTGTGAAGATCGTGGGTCTGACCAACCCGTGAAATGGCTTTTAGTTAGAAATGAGGTTCGTCACAACATTATTCCTGAAGTATCGAAGCAAAAGAAGCCAACTACCGTATTCGTGATGATGTTTGCACCATTGAGCAATGTCAAAATAAAAAAAAATCTCAAAAATTTCGTTTTCGAGTTTTTTTTATTCATTCAAAGGGGGATGTTTCTCAGAATCTTAAACTATGTTAATCATCAATCGAGTTTCCACTTGCTGCAATCACGGTCGCCACACGCTTCTGGAATGCACGGCAGGTTCTAATAATGTAGTCTGGATCCATTTCCCTCCATGTACGGGTCAATGTTTGTCTGAGGCTTGCTGTACTCGGGTGGCGTTTAGAACAGGTCTTTACCTTCATGACGCGCCATATTGAGTAATCCAGCGGATTAAGATCGGGGCTGGAAGGCGACCACATATCCTTCGCCCAGAACGGAAGATGTTCCTGCAACCACTTCTGAGTTTGGTTCGAGGTGTGGCACGGATCCCCATCTTGTATGTATGTATGTAAGTAGCCACCATCCTAGCTTGGGTCTTGCCCTGCATGCGGCTCCACTCAACAGCAAGATCAAATTCCGTCATCATTCTGAATTCAACATACTGCTGTATGAAGGGCCAAAAAGGGTTGGACGGGCCCGTAAGCAGAGGCACTTACGCGAAACCCGCGGGAATAAGAGAATCTCCTTCCAACAATATGATCCAACAAAATGAATAACGAAATTCGCAATGCATGTTAAGCTTTCCACGGGATGATTTGTTTAAGAAGAGCGCGTCAAATTCATTGCAACTGTTGGAGTGAAATGTAACTATCTAAAATGACAGTACACATTCCCTCCTAGACTCCGGTTGGCACTCCACTCCATTGTCCAGTTACAACTTCAATGATGCCCTGATGCTCCCTCCCGTCCCAGTATTTATTGTAATTTACATTATGAATTTATATTTAATCATGTAATATATAATGTATATAAAATATGTAATAAAATAAAAAATATAATAAAAAATAAAGATGTTTTACAAAATACAAATAACCTAGATTATTGGGTCCTATACACACACTTTTTGTTTTATGTGCCATGAAATTACATAATGCATCATTGTATGTTTTGAAAATATAATACTAAAGTATTGAATCAATAGACCGAAAATCGAGGTTATTTGGACATTAGACATTATATTTAAAAGGATACTACCAAACCGACCATCAAACGCACTGCCCACAAAAGCAGACACGTCCCCTCGAAAATGCAATCGAGAAATGTACAAGAACAATCCTCAACTGGAACGTACTCACCAAATCAATATATCCGGGAGCGCATTCCCGATGTCGTCGAACGGCAAAAAAAAGGGAACTCGGTGAGCAAATTTGTGATACGGAATTTTCACTGAAAACAACCGCGAAATTCACCACACCCAACTGCGAAACACGTTCAGAAGCACTTTTGGTACACTTTCGATATCAATTTCATTCGAAAAAACTTACTTTCTCAACACCGATCGTGTCAAGCTCTTTCACGCACCTTGCAGCGCATAAAACACTTATAACCGTCCGGGAGGCAGAGTGCCAGCGTTAATCCGGCAAATGCAGCCGAAAACTATGAAAGCGAACGCACGCACAAAACAGAGAATAAACACAACCGTATCCAAAGGGGTTCCGTGCGCGACTGTGTGGCACGGATCCCCATCTTGTTGAAATACAACATTTGGCTTCGGACCGTACTGTTCCTTGAACATGACCGTACGGAAGAACATACTTACTTAAAATCGCGATGTAGACCTCCGTGTTGACCTTGTCGCCTTCTGGAATGAACACCGGGTCCATTTTTTTGCCATCGGAAGACACCAATCCAAACACCATAACGCTAGCAGGATGCTTGGTCAGATACACGTTCTTGTGCTCGTCGGCCACGTCTTTTACCGGAAAAGAACTAATATACCGGTCGGTTCTGGAATTCGATACGGGATCGACCGTAAACACGCTCTCGTCGGTGAATAGGATTACCGGATTTTTTCGCTTAAGAAAGTTCAAAATTTTCTTGCATCGTTCGACTCGTAGCTCACGGATGCGGTTGGTAATCATGTGAGTTTTTTTTCCGTGCCCTCGACTTCGCCCCGCAAACTTCCTTTACG